TTTTTTAAATTACTTTGTCTCCTCTTAGCCTGTGGTGACATCTTGCAAGCAGCAGAGCTTTGTGGTGTGCAGCAGCTGTCCTGCCTTGACCTCAAATGAAGAGTCATAAGATTTGGCCCAAGTTCTATTGTTTAGTCTCATGCAAGTCCCAAGGACTTGTGCTCCCTTATAGGTCTGCTCAACAGCTCCCTTACGCTCAGCTAGTAGGAAATTATACAGAGATTCTGATGGAATATCAGGAATTCACTGCTTGAGCTTCATAGATGGATTCAGACTACAGCATGGACTGACAGCTTTCTATACAGCCTGCCTATAGCTTAAGAGACAATGTGTTTCTTAGGCAACGGTTACCTTCTTGACTTCTACTGACATAAGACGCTGCTAAACTGTGAGGTGATGCAGGCAAGGACAACCTTGTGCTGTTTTAGAAAGGCTTCTTTAGATGGGCTTTTCTAGATTTACTCATCAATTCTACAGATATCAGACTGTTCATAAAGTCTACCTGAGTTATCAGTAGAACTTTGTTTTAAGATACAGCAAGATTTAGCTATCTGTTGAAAGTATCACCTGTGTCAGCACATGTGTAAGTTCATAGATCAGGGAGTAAGAAACACTGATTTTTCATCTCCTTAAGGAAACCAGGAATCAAGTGCACAAGATAACATTACTAATGCAAAAAGACTATTTGTCCCTTTTGAGCCAAACCCATAAGTTAGAGAGCCTCTTTCAGCTCCAAACAGTATCATAAAACATTACCTGAGACACCATGACAAGATTGCCTGTCTCTGCATCAACAGCTTGCACCACTCCTGTTACCGTTCCATTCCCAATTGCCACTCCTCTGACAAGTCCAGTGCTGTTCACTGACGCAATCTTCTCATCATTGATGGAGAAAATGATGTTGGACTGAGGTTGAGGGCCTCCTTCTGAAGTGATCTATAATTAACAGCACACAAAACAACTAAAATTAGCCCATCAGATATTTGTTCTGGTTAGTGTTACAGGGTACACTAGAGGGAGGGTTTAACAGAGAGCATCTGCCACCTCTTTTAAGAGTCGGCCCAGCCTTAAATGGTGACAACCCCTTCCGTGCTCAGCACCACAATGTCTTCAGTAAGAAAAGGCTGTCTGAACCTTCCTAGGGCATCTCAGGGCTGATTTCTCCTGCATTCTGGTCCTTCCATGATGTTGGACTGGAAAATACGTAAGCTAAGCACAAAAGCAGACTATGTGCTTTGTAGAACACAATAGGCTGATGTTACATCCAGCCTATTGAAAGTTTCAGAAAAATTTAGCTCACTTTCTCTTCACCACACATGGTATAACTCTGCTCCGTGTTTCAGTTTGTAGAACTAGCCCACTGTGCTTAATTTCTTGGAGGTGACAGATTACTAACGCTGTGCTGGTATTTAACACTGGAAAAGCTGACGCTCCCTTGACACAAATAAATATGAAACCTTTGATCCAATACAGCAAAAAGAAGGTGGCTCAAGAATGAAACTATTCTTGTTAGGAGGAGTATTCAATGTGAATGTAGCTAAATTGCCAAGTTGAATATCTACTCCTGAAAAAATAGGTTATGAACATTTATTTTAAAATAGAAATTACAAAAAAACCCCAAGATATGTAAGAAGATGCCTTACCTGAATCATGGCCCCAATAATTAGGGTCACTTTCCTTGGCAGTAGTCTAAATGGGGGAAAAACCTAAAAACAGAAATATGTATACTTGTGTTCATACTATTTCAATCAGATAAATTATGTCACAAAACAGTACATACAAGTGTAAAAGTGGGTCTTCACTTGCTTAATTACAGTAAATTGAGCATGCAGAAACTTAACTCATCACTTGCAGTTAAAAAACACCATGAAATCTGAAACAGATTAGCATTTGGATAACTTCTGGACAGAATGCTCTGTTTATTTTTTCTGGCAAATTAATTACTATACTATAAATTAACTATGATATACTGTTGCTATTCTATCATAACACAGATTTTGTTTACGCATATATTTTGTTTGATATTATTTACTTCAATCTGTTGTGGAGCAGAGCTGATTCTTTGTCCTCTTTTGTCAGCAACAGTTGCGGTAAGACTAGTCTGCCCAATGGCTATCCCATGCACTAGGAAAGCAGCAGTATGGTCATCAGGAGCTTCACTGAGTGGGCTGTAGCAAAGAAAAACATTAAAATAGAGAAAGTCATTGAATAAATTACATGAATAACAAATGTAATTAATTTATTTAGTGCATAGCAGTTTTATCCTAAGGATGACTAAGTGACTATGTCTTAAGTAAAATTAAGGCAACGATCACATTTCTACTTGTAACATCATGAAATGGCTCTTTGTAGCCTATTTTTTATCTTAAAATGAAATACGTGAAATAAAAATGAAACAAGAGTGTTAGTTGGAACAGACCAAAACTCTGCCAGGGAGCCCACTAACAATTTGACCAGTATGGGCAATAGTGGCACAAGCCTTGATTACATACCTTGACACTATTTAATGGAGTGGGATAGATACAGCCAAGCAGTACTACATGGTGTATGCAAATACACACACATGATTTTTACTGATTACCTCAACACTAAAAAACAACAGTCCAAAAACCTCTTTTTCTGTGATTTTAATCATTGTGTTTAGACTTCAGAAAATAAGGAGCTTCAAGGCAATAGGATGATTTAGCCTACCTGTTTCTAAAAGGTTCAGTAACAGATAGAATCATAGAATCATCATAGAATTGTGTGGGTTGGAAGATCACCTTCCAACCTTAAAGACCTTAAAGATCATCTAATTCCAAACCCCCTGCCATGGGCAGAATGAGTTTGATAACATCAGATATGTCTTCACAGAGTTCTTCACCTGACGTTATTTGCTGAGTCACTGCTTTCAAGATGCATAAGGCTCCATGAAATATTATAGCATATGAATACTGTCGCTTTCATCAGTCAACAAGATTTACACTGTTAGCTTAGGCAATTTTCCTGGCAAATAACCATTTTTTAACAGCTAATTAAAACTTTACAAAAATAAAATAAATAAAAACTCAGTCATTGTATACTACCATGCCTCCAAGCCTATACCTTTACTCATTTTTTGGTTATTCTGCCTATAAACATATTTGCAGATTAATAAGAAAATCCATTAACTTACACAAGTGAAACAATCTGAGATGCTGCCCTTAGTTTTAGATCCATGACAGCAAAGTATTTCGCCAGAAAAGGTTTCTTAGAGTCATCCAGAACCCTGACATAAGCTTTAACTGTTTTTTCAATCTCCACCTGAAACACAGTTGCATCCAATCATTTTTCATTTAAACTTTTCTTATTTATTAGCATAAACATTTTCATTTTATTTTGTATTACACTATTAGTAGGGTATTAGAGATAAAGCCTCAAGGTTAGATTAGCACTGATTTTAAAGAATAATCCCTGCCAGCTATGGTTAGCATCAAATTAAATAAATTAATTCAGGTCTTTCAGCTGGCAAGGGCATAATTAAAACATCCAAAATATCAACACTTATTTTGTATAAGACGCACCCAAGCTGGCAAGTAAAATGAATTGGACTATTTTTTTTTTTTAATTTTTTAAAACATGACATATGAAAAATGACCTTGGGGCAAAAACTACTCCTAAAAGAATTGCTCTCATGCACTTTAAACAACAGGAAATGTAAATTAGTGTGTTCATATAAATTGTGAATTAACATTGCTGTGTAAATGCAAAAGTTGAGATTGCTGCCACACAGAACATGAAGTATGAGACACCTGATACTCTGAAAGACTTACAACCTAAGAGGATAAATTTGGGAGGGAGAAACAGAAACACAGGGAGATCAAACTATTTCTCTAAGGGTCATACAGCTGCAGCAGACGGCCCTAACCTAACCATCGTATCGTCTTGTACATGTCTCATCTTTATGTTCATGATCAGCACAAGGAATCAGGGCAATCTGGATCAGCTAATAATGCTGGTTTCAAAGCCACTAACCTTGTCAACAACTCGGACGTACAGTTCGTGTATATCAGATACATAAATTTCAGCTTTAGCTGGTGCAGGGAAAGCCAAACACAAGTCATGAATCATTACAGTCACTGATCCTGGAAGGAGAGGATGCACCTGCAATGCCAAGAGAAAATTCTATTATAGCACTTCTTATTTTCATTTGTCTGTCATCCATAGGATAAAATTTATATTACTTTCAGGTCAGATACAGTTGGATGTGGAAGTCTCCGAGCCTTTGACATAGATAATTCTTCCACCAAAGTAAAGGTAAAGCTGTAAAACACATGTAAAAAGTATCATACTATTGAGCTAATGCAAATGGCCTCTGGGCAGCAACTGAATTAACATATCTTAATCTAGAAGCGGTCTGGCATCCTCTTATTCTTCTGCCATCAGAAGGACAAAAAAACCCACAGCAAATCATTCAGAGCAATGAAACTTTTCTTAGTGGAGTGAAAAACAAAATGATAAGAAAAAAATATCAAGGACAGAGACCGTGCTTATAAAGCATTGGTATTGCTTCCTACAAGATTCATTACTTTACAGTTATTGCTTTTAATCTGAATGAATAGCCAAAATCTGGTGGTAGATCTTCCCAAGTAAGATGACAGCTGACAAACCAGGTATTTCTTTGATACAATTACTACTATTTTATTAATTGTTTATACAAACAATGTACACATTACATATCTCAGAATACAGCAAGAATCAAACAATGAGGAAAAACACCTCTGCTTGCAAATACAAGCCCTCAGACCTAGGCACCAACCCCAAAGTCGTCTCCACACACCCTCTCAAGGCCATGCATCCACACCTTGCTCACATCATCTTTGCAGTTCTCTTGCAATTTGCCTGACCTTGCCACACACCTCAGGGATGATCCCAACTATTCTCTTCATCTTCACAGGTACCTTCACTTTGGCCAGAGACAGCACAGATATTTGCTGTCCTATTCTATGCACTCATCTGGCTTCTGAAGATGAACTCTGAAACAAGGGGTGATGGACAGCCAGGCCCCCCAGTTCAAAGGAATTTAATATAATTCATAGCATTACTTGGCAGCACCACAGGAGTGAGCAGTAAAAGCAGTGGGGAGAGCTGACATTTTGTTCTTTGAGGGCACCACTCTTACTTTTGCCTCAAAATAAAAAGGAATATAAAGTTTTAATAACTGTCAGCTTTCGGAACAGCGGCAGTTCTCAAAGCAGGTGGCTAATACAGGTGCTGGGGACAAATACATTAACACACAGCCATGGAAAGTAGAGAAGGGGATGTGGCCAGGAGGAGGCAGCCAGCACAACCACAGGAAGGACGATGTAAGAGAGCTCAGTTTGGGCTGGGAGACCAGAGAAAAGATGCTACCAGAGTGGAGGGCCAAAAGGGAAAGCAGGGCTAGTACAACTTACAAAAACTGTTCCTGTCCCAGCTACCTCTTCTGTTCTCATCTCCTATTAGGTGTCCAGACGCTCCCTAGCATACAGTATATTTCACTGTTTACCACTATTCATTGTTCTCCCATGCTACCACCCATGTCCAGAAAAGCTGCTGTGTCAAAAAGAGAATAAGAGGTACAAAATTTATCCTTGGCAGCACCAGTAAAAAGCCTGAGAATCACTGCTCTAGATAACTTGAATTTAGTTTCTCAGAATAGTTTACTATTGAACCATCCTGGATCAGCTTAGCTCCACTGATACCTGCCATGACATCAGTCTGGCATGTCAGACTGGAACTTGCCGATTTTCTACGCAGATTATTCTGCTGGCTTCCATAGAAAGAAAAATCCATAGGAGATACTGGGATTTAACTCAAATATAGCATGCAGGACTAGCAAACTTTTAAAATGTTGGGTTTGGGTTTTGTTTTGTTTTTTCAAAATGGTTTTTAAATGTGTTAAAAAATGGGGTTTTCTCTCCTTTAATCTGACAGGTAGTTAAAATAAATCTCTTTTTGTACTTCACAAAGCCTGTCTTGTTGGCAGCGTTCCACTACTTAAGTTCACTGCTCTATTCTGAAATTATCTTGTGTACATCAGTTAAAGTACTGCTAAACCCATGAGGGAGATCTGACTGAAAAACCATTAAGAGTTGAAACAGTGTACAATATTCAAAAACAAGCTCATGTCTTCTATTTTTTCCCCACCTCTGTGCCTAGCTGACTTGGTTGGAAAAATATTCCCACCTTACACTTCCAACAGTTAGAGACAATCAAAATGTTTCACCAATACTTTCCATATTCTCAACAATGAGAAAAAAAATAATCTACCTTTATCATCATTGTTTCACAACTTTATCAATGTTATTTATTACAAGATAAATCTGTAAATTATGGATTTGTAAAGACTACTCTTTAAAACAATTTGTGTCACTTCCAATTCTTGTCTAATGAAAGCTACAATGCAAATATACAGTTTTATTGTTGTTCACTGTAGAATGCATCTCATTCCTGGGCCTGGATAAAATGAAGCATAACTGTAGTTTAGTTGCATCTTCTAGTGGAAAAGTGCGTTAAAAACTTAATATGGAGATCAGAGATGAACTTTTTCATAGATATTCATTCACAGAATCAGGATGAAATACTGTGATAGCAAAATATCCTGAAATAGCACTAGAAGAAGAATTGAAGATTTCAGAAGTATTGGCCTACAATATTTTTCTAGAAACCAATTAATCTTTTGTATAACACTTCTGAATAATTTTGTCACATTATTTTTCATTTTGTGTTTACGAAATCAGGAATATTTTACTGCAAAATTGTAATGGGTAAAGAACAACTTGGTACTGGCTTTTATCTTATACAGAGCATACGTATACATCACAATTGTAGTGAAAATTTCCTACACCTGAAACTATATCTGAAATTGCTAGTGCAAAGATCCCCTGTCTGAAGCTTGACTGTGACAGGCGAACACATCCAAGATTCAGTTATTGCCTCTCTATCTACATGTACTGGAAAATGACCAATAGTGATGAAACTGCAGAACGATATTCAGATCACCAAAGAGATATAAAATAACAAAACACTTCACTCACCAAAGCAATACCTTGAGTTTCCTCATGAGCCACTCTTACAACATTTGCAACACTGGTATTAATGAAAAAATATCCAGAACCTTCTTTGATGAAAAGTTCTGCCTGCAAAACCAGAAAAGCATGCAAAATCAGCTTGTATCTTTCTAGTACATTGCTAAGACTGGTATCCTGACACATATCATATAATTTTTTATGTTTTCCTCCCCGCAGTTCAAAAATAGCAGAATAATTCCTTACCTGTATGTCAGGGTGATTGTAAATGGAGACATCAGTAGGGTTCACTTTTACATCTTCCACTAGTATCAGTTCGATACTGGCAGACACTGGTAGAAGAGGTTCATACTGAAAGAAAAAATTCTAGCTGTTATAGCAGACACCAAGAATCAGAAAACGGTGCAAGTCTCTTGTATATGCAGGGAAGAATGTTTAAAGCAGATGAACAAAGAGTCAGAGCTGGAGAAGTTGAGGTTAATAGAATGTCCAAAAGATCTAGTAATTGGCTCAGCTGCTAGCTGTCTTGTACAGGTAAGGTCATATACAGGACACACTGTTGTGTTCTGCACCTCCGACCAAGACAAAGAACAAAGGCCTATGAGTAAAAGATGTAGCAGGATCAGTTAACCAAGTCTGACATACACGACAGGATATTAACTCAGAGACATGTTGTAAGTTCATACAAATTGATAAAGCATAGAGTCAGAATGTTTTCTTCTACTTCAAGGTCATCTTTTTAGGATTCTTTCTAGCAGGCCACCAAAAGAAATTCTTCCTTAAATGTAAGTACATAAACGCTGGACTAGATGCAAGTTTAATCATTCACTCATAATAACATTAGCTTAGAAAGGGAAAATGTTTTTAGAGGAAGTTAGTATTATGTACCCATTTCACCTAATTAATAGAATTATTTCCTTGATGTAGAATCTTAAAAAAAACCTAATGACATAATAGGATGCTCCACTCAAACATGGAACAACAATCAAGACATCTTAGTATACCATCTATTAGATTTTTATTTGTGGTTTTGTCTGTAAGAAAGGTGTAAGTATGGACAGGTGTGAAGCAGAATATAGCAGTCAATTTCTAATGTATTTGAAAAAAGCAGACAAATTACCCGATTTTAAAAAAAACAACACATGAACCTATCTAACTGTAGCAGAAATGGTAGCTACAACTACCCTTCAACTATCAAACAGATTCCTCCCAAACTTAAACACAGAGACTAGAACTTAAGAGAATTCTAGTGCCATTGTACATGTACATATCCCACACTGAAATACAATAAACTTCTCTGAACTGAAGGCAAAGTTTAGAGAATTCACTTTTCTAATTATCTCTAAATGTAAGAAAGAATATTGAATATTGGTTTAATAAAACAGAGCACAGTGAATTACAAAATGATTGCAGAACACCAAGTGTTCTTATTACAACTCAATTTTCTTAAGAGAAAAAAAAAGATAAAGAACCAAATATCTTAGGTGGCAAAGTAACTGTCTCTCTAATCTAGTAATTTTGACTAAGTTATAATCAAATTCTTCAGTGGAAATGTGTCTACAGCATGCTTCCCAACAAGAGTAGACTGGAAACCTCACTGAAAAGACAAGAACCAACTGGCAATACAAATCATCTTCCAAAGAAATTTACCATCCAGATGCCAAACCTTGGACATACTGACAGAAATCTAGGCCATGGGATATTTCACATTACTAGTGTCCATCTGTTACCTGCTTTGAATTAAAAATACTGTAACCTCTAGCTCCATATTTTACTCTGTCTCAACTCTATTTTCATGGTACTCGATTCAGAACCACATATAGTCAAAACCCGCTTAAATCTTGCTTAACAAAATTAAACAGAATTTCAATTTAGTGAAACAGGATTGCATGTCAGGTTGTTCCATAGGTTGAAACCTGCATTTATATTCAGTTAAAAAAAGTGACACAAACAGAAAATTGCCATCTGTTTGCATCTGCCTTGTTTGTTCATCATCAGTACCTTTTGCTGTTGTTCTTCCTTGTGTGGTGTATCTACAAACTAAAGTATTTCAGAGAGTAGCTAATGATTTGTAAAATTAGAGCCTAGGTTTATGGCTGGCACTGTACAAATGAGTAATCTCTCCCTTCCTTAATATCAATGTGAGACCAAAGAAAAAAAAAGGAAAGAGTATTAGTCAGAGCTTAGATTTTACATATGGTCCATATGAGGATATCAGCCAGCTTTTGCTTTGCTCATGCAGAACCTTTCTACCCAGTTTTGCAGTGGAAATAATACATTTGCTTTCCCCAGTGACAGCTGCACTAAGCACATGGTTGCTTTAGTGAAGGGGAAGCAGCAGAGATTCACCAACTCATTAAAAAAACGAAATAGAAACAAAACCAACTGAAACAATTCTTTGTAATCCCCTTGCCCAGATTGTTTAAAAAAAAATTGGATATATTTGATACGGATAGCAGCATGAGGAAAAGCAGAGGAAAGCAGGAAAAGCCATGAACATTATAAAAACATTGTGGTATGAGTCTGTCTTCAGAATCAGCTATGGAGCTGCCTTATTTTTACATTACTAGGCACTAAGGAAATAATTAGAGGAACACTGTACATTAAGCATCATAGCAAAATGGGAACAAAACCACCAGAGTTCTGAGTACCGGTATTTTTACTTTAGCTGCCTTGAGATGGGATTTCTGATACCCTGTTGCAGTTGCAGAGATGGCAGTTGTTCCAGACTCATGATGAACTAGTACAGTTTGTAAGCCTAGAATCAAACAAAAAGTCAAATAAATGTGATTACGGGGAAGGAAAAGATGAAATGTACACTGCTAATCTCTTCCATTATCATTCTAAACAACGATTTTCTCTCTCGAGAATGGTTCTGGGCATTGGGTTTGGGTTTTTTTGTTGTTTTTTGTTTGTTTGTTTTTTAAATAGCACACACTTAAAATGCATGTTGAGGATAAGCTGAAATATTACTGTAATCTGCAGTCATTTCTTTTATCAAGATGAGACATTACCAAATAGATTTAATCCTGACCTTCTTCAAATAATGAAATGCTCATTTAAACTAATTCATACCATGCATTTTCTTTTGACCACTTCCATCTTCTTTCAGAGTCAGCTCCATTGGCGTATCAGGCTCAATATTAGCTAAGGACGTTTTTGTTGATTCCCAGATAACACTAAGAGAACTGAAGTTATCAAATCTACTGCCCTGTTGGTCATATGCAGCCAGATCCAGTACTGGATTGCGATAATTTGAAACAGGAACCTGAAAAAGAATTAATACTTTGAACTGAACAGATGCAAGAGGATTTTTTAATCATTAAAAGGAACAAATGTATACCAAGTTCCATGAGATTTATTATAACACTCATTACATGAGTAATGTTCATTAAAATGAGCTATCAATGCAAAGTCATTAAGCTGTATTTCAACTGCAAGGAGATTTTTTGGGGGGTGGGAGGGTGGGGTTTTTTTAGCCAGTGAATTACCCTAAAATAAAAATCAAACCACTCAGCTTAACTATGTCGTCTTTAGAATTCAAACAAATAATGAAAAATACTGCTATTTGTCAGAAGACATTCCTCAAAATTCTAGTGTTCATCTTGTGAAATGCCTTAGCAATAGCGGTGTACTGATGTAGTCTAACTGACACATAATGGAGCTAGAAAAACAGGAGAACTCTGAAGTGACTTATAATACACAAAAATCTCCTTCTCATCTTGTTATTACATAGAAGTTACTTAAAATTATTCATCAACTCAATACACATTGCAGTTTTAAGAAATTAGGATGACTTTTATATTTGCCTGGTGATATTAACATGACAAAACACACAGTTTACTCAGCAGACAACATGTGACGGCACTCATTAGGATGTAGAACAGAGTTCTTTATGCTTGACAATCTACACGTATGCATTGTCCACTTATTGTGACTCAGATTTCCAAAGCTGAATACATCTGATGTCACTGAACAATACTCACTGTATATGCTTACATAGGTATCTTCACATCAGCAGTGTTTTTGCCTTTACTAATAAGACACACACAAATTTACACTCATGTAATAACATGTGTATAGTAAAATATATCTCTAAATACTAAATAGAATAGTTAGATTAGAATGAAGTGGTATAGGGAAAAAGTACTTTCCTTAGAAACAGCCGCTGGAAACATTTCCCCCCTCTTTTTTTTTTTTTAAAAATAAAAAAAGAGGTTTATCTCAAGTCAGAAAGGCTTCCTCACAGTGACACTTCCATGCAAAGTCACAATCCAAATGCTTTTACATATACTCTTATTTTCTGGTAAGTCCCTTTATAAACCTGTTTGAACAATCACTGCAGGAAACTCACATTCAGACTGACCTCTGCAGAAGCAGACAATGATACCAGCGTGGCCCACAACACTAGAGTTACTGCTACTCTTGCAGCCAGTCAGATGCTTTATTTCGTATGTGGAGGTCCAAATACTGATTTTAAGTTATAAGAACACATTCTTTTCCTGTCACTTCTCAGACTTACCACTTGCTTGTTTTGTTGTAGCAAAGGGCAGGAGAGATCAAGCTGAGGACTTCCATAAACAGGAGTCAAAGTGAGTCGTGAAGGGACAGCACAGATGAACTTCACAACAGCAGGCTCAACTGCTGGAAAAGGGTTGGTGATTGTGGGGTTGTTTCCAACTGTTAAGGCAATAACCTGTACAATTATGAAAACAAGCAAGTGAGGAAAGAGAGAAGGACTACTGAGTTCAGGCATATTCTGCCTCACAGATCTCAGTTACACTCTGATGTCAGAATGAACAAACAATATGATTCTCGGGAATTTACAGCACCATTAAGACACAGGAAGATGTAAAAGGAGCTGCATATTTCAAGAACAATTCTATACCATTATCAAAGTACTATTCCTGGGAACTTTTCCTAGGTATTCAGGTTTATGTCTATCAAACTTGATTCAAACAACAAATCTTTTGTAACTTAAAAAGCTAACAGGCAGATGTTTTTTTGCAGAGTGAGAATAGAACAGCCCAAAGACAATATTTATAGTCACTTCAGTGTGTTTAAAGACATCTTATGTTTTATTTTACATTCCTTTTTCTAGCCCTCGACAAAACAAAGTGAATATAAACACAGAGAATGCTATCCCAGCAGGCTGAGGTAGCTCTGGTTACCTGCCTTATCCACTCATGCACTGATGCTAGCCAGAGCTATGTAGATGTGATCTGTGCTGGACAACACTGAGGACAGCCAGCCAATGCATGCACAGTCATAGACAACAACAAAAGTTGTTCCTTTCTGTAAGTGCAAATTCAGAAATAGCTGCACTTTGTGCAGCATCCGCTAAGGAAATCAGTTAAACAGTTTGGCAGTCACACCAAAATGCTTAGGCTTTGCAGAATTACAGGAGAAAAATATTAAATCAAAGCTAAATGCTTTATAGACTGGCTGGGGTGAGTAAAGCAGGGTAAATCACTTCTGTGTGTTGGAGAAAAAAGACCAGGTGGAAAATGACTACAGCCACTGCCACAAAGACTGCACAAATATCAGAGAGCAGTAAATTCATATGGCTGTCATTTGTTTGAAAAAAAACAGCATTCCATGGAAGGTAACTTGGTTAAGAGAAGCAGGTCAGACAGAAGAGTCAGTTTACTGCAGTAACCTTCTGCTATGATCCTATTTATGCAACTGAAGCTGCACTTACTAGGATCTGTTTAACGCATTCTACAAGATAAGGTTTCTGTGATTTGGCTTTATGCTGCAATAAACTCATCATAAACCACTTTATAACATCATGTTACAAAATGCTCACTCTAAAACCTGTACCAGCATCACAATGCATAAACAATATACTTACTCAAGTACTTTAGTGGCTTATTATAAAAACTACTTGTTATATAAAAGGTACACGGTATCATAAATCTGTCTGAAGCCTGTTCTCAGTTGCCTTAGCTCAGCGTTTGATGGAGGGCAACACAAATACCTTCTGGAACTTACTTGCTCTCCCAGGCTTTTGCAAGACACTCTGACCCAGTGCTGGAGGTTATTTCGAGATGTAGGAGGTCCAAATAAAGACAGACCAATACTTTCTGCATCCTCAGCAGTGACGTTCCTGAAGAACTTTGAAGGTTCTTGTACCCATGGTCTAGGTCCTCCTTCAAATAACATATCTTTAGAGGAACCCAAAGTCACTAAAGCAACAGACAGAGGATCAATAGTCTGTAATGAAAGAATTAATTACAAATTAATGATTCTATTTACACATAGTTTGGTTGTACTTTGCAAAAGAAACTTCCTTCTTAACGGAGGAGCTATCTTTGTTACTTTGATGAGGCTATGATTTTTCCCACACAGTGGTTTGTAAGCATGGTTGTTTAAGAACAGAGTTGTACCAAAATAATTAGCATCACCTACAAGAATTCCGTCCAGCTGGATTATATTCAAAGGAACTCATGAATCCAAAGAAAAGTTTTAACTACATTCTTATCACATCTCTTTCATGAAGAATTACAGCAAGAGAAAGACTTTTAATATACTCTTCTAAGCACATGCAGAGAGATAGTATTCTACATTTTTTAAACAGACAGTACGTTAAATGAATGAAATAATGTCAATTTTATTTTCATTTGACAATGCTCTCTCCAGCACAGTGCTGCGCATGTAATTATTCTCCTAAACAAATTTTACTTCAAACCTCTACAACAAATTCTACATTGATGTGCATCACTGGCACAGCCTGTGCTGTTTATCATCATAGAAATTAACCTGACATTTTAACACACAATAACCATTTGTAGCTTGTGTTCTGCATCATCATGTTACTTAGATGTTTAGTAAGAAAGAAATAGCAGCTAACATAAAGGATGGTTCAATTCTTTCCATAGATACATTTTGGTAGGAAGAGAGAGAAGGCAAGGGTTGATATAAATGTTCCTTCTCTACTCCCACTTACTCCCTCGTTGTATTTGTAATATAAAGGTAAAAACCCATTGGAAAACTATGAGATCTAGTCTCAAGTGTCTGCCTACCCTTTGACTCCTGTTTATCTTTCTCTCACTTTCCATCTTATAATTTATTTTTTTTAAATAGATACTGGATAGAAAAATTCTGCCTTCCATTTCTGGGCATAATAAATATTTCATTCTACAGAAAGGAGGGAAAATAATGTGGAAATCACTGTTCTACATTTCAAAGAAAAAGAAGTTCTTCACTGAGATATCTAAGCACAGATTATATTTTTAAAGTGCACTTAATCTACCCTCCTTGTCACCGTGTATTGGCTCTGTTAAGTACCCTAGAATCATTTAACTTCATATATGAATACAACATCTCAAGGGGCTTTACTAATAAATGTGAATGATACCATACATATAAAAAAATCCTAATTAAAGGGACTATTTCTCTTTCTCACATTGCTGCCCATAATAGAAAGTTTACAGACTCTGCTTAGGATATCTCAGCATCTTCAAATAATTATACTAGCTATTTAAGATATTTGACAGAAAAGCATATTTAAAAAGTAAAATCATCATTACAGTCACAAATTTGTACAATTTGCACAAACTTTTGTTCCAGATTTGGGGGAAAAAAGCTACGGTCAAATGTATTAGACTTCAGCTTTGCAGATTCAGTGCTAGGTCTCTGAAGATGAGGGTAACACAAACATACTGTTTCATATTTCCATATATTGACCCTATAAACTCAAGTTTGTTTTTCCTGTTTTCTTTAGTGAACTCTCCAACAGTGAAATAAGTTTCTCCCATTTGTAGGGAAAAAAAGCATAAGTTTTCACTGCCATATAGGTAAGCCAGCTTTGCCTTCTTGCAAAAATCAGTTTATATACTATGAAAGCAGAAATCATAAGCTAGGTCTACTTCCATTTCCCACTATGGACACAGAATTGTGACTGCCCCCTTATTACCTTATTAAGCCAATTGTTAATCAGTTCAAATGGACAGTCAAAAAAAAACCCTATTTGAGTCTCATAATTTTTCACCCATCTAGAGTCTGCTGAAAAGTAAATTACTAATTCAGGTGTGCTGTGCAAAACAAGATATACATCCTCACTCAGATGCCGGTTGACTCCTATTACTGTCCTGCATATTTCTTCAGAGGGCAGCAACTGTGACTCTTTTGCCAAAAGTCTGAAAAATGGGCAAGGATATCAAATTCACTTTTCACTTCAGAAGTTGCAGACAATCTGTTAGTTTGCTATCACACTACTCACTCCTCTATAGTTGTTTTGCAATGTCCATGTAGACAAACTCTATTTTATATATATGCTCCACAGAGAAAGGCTTAAAACACAGTTCCCCCAAACAGTCCATAAAATCTTTCCTGTGAATCAATCACCCACATCATTTTCTTTAAACATACTCACTACATAATATCAACTTGCTATTTGTCATTTAAAGGCATTTTAAGTGATGGATTGCTTTAAGGAACAGCAAAAACAGACTTACTTTTAACGGTAAATAAGCAGCAATGGTGATGCTAGCACTGAGGTGGACATGACCATGGGTGTAACTAACAACAAGTGCTGTGTATCCTTGAGTTTCAGCTTTCACTCTGACTCCACTACAAAAATCAGCAGTTGGCTTAAGCCTTCCTGTCAGATAAATTAAAAATACATAAATACATGTTTGGAGAGAAATGCCCAAGCATTTTAATGCAAGTTCAACATTACTTTTCTTGACAAAAGCATTTCCACCAGAAGGAAGTAGAGATGTGTTCTCCAACCAAATGGGTGAAAATGTTCATTACTGTCTTTCACCTCAAACCCAACACTTACCAAAGTATCCATGTCTCACAAACTTCTTTATTTTCATACTGTCCTAAACAAGACATGAGTTTTCACTCTGGTACAAACTAATATATCTTCTACCTCTTACTGAATATTTCATCTTGCTGTTCTAAAATGAAACTGCCCCGTAATTAAGCACAACTAAGTAACACTGCTTAGACAAGCTTTCCTGCATAGAACAACTTGAACTGTAGGCAATACATCATTTCTCTAGCTGAAGGCAAGGTATTTTCATGAAATTTCTCTGCTTACTTAGAGGACATTTAGGGGTTTGAGAAGGGTCTACTTTTTCTTTTTTTGAAACAAACCGTACAACAGCATACTACATAGTGACATTTAAAATAGCTGCCTCTCAGGCAAACAGATGGTACAAGGCAGACTGGTTTTACTGGCTCAATAGCACAGGAAAGAGCTTCCATACCAGAGACACTAGGAAAAAATTAATAGTACATCTGAATAACATACTGAATTCAGACACAGGAACAAGCACATTGCTCAGCGTCCACTTAGCCCAGCAACATTAATGTCAGTTTTTAAAAGTAACATGCATACTTCATACTCTTAATAAACCTGACAAGAGGCATTTCTTAAAGCAATGAGCTTAACAATGACAGAGCTTTGGCAAAAATTAGGCAGCTGATTGTCTTAGTTCCTTATGAGCAAACAATGAACAGTATCTTTATAGAACTGAAAGTATTGCTGGACAATTTGGGCAAAGCAGTTACTAATCTTAGTGTTCATGTAAGTCTTCCAATGCTACCTCAAAACATAATGCACATGGACCCCTCTTACGAGAAAACCCATCAGCTTTGTTATAAAAGTATGTTAAAAATGCTAAATCAGTAGAAGGACATACAGGAGACTACACCTTATCCAATAAAATAATTGCCAAGATGCTTTCAGGGTACCCCAAAACATCAAAAATGTCAAAGGGAAGTTCTGCATAAAAAAGTAAATACACCCTCAGAATAAAACTACTCTGATTCCCCACCTCTGAAGTTAAGCACCTCTGTGGGAATACTGTACACAGCAATTGAAACAGTGACTTAAAGGAAATCTGTGACTTAGCAACATTTAACTTTCAAGACAGTGAGGGGGTCAAATCACCTTGAAGTGGCCTGAACACACCACGGTTTTCTACTTCCACAACTAGATCAAAGTGTGAGCAGTCGCTCAGTGGGACCGTCTTGCCCGTTTCAACATTTGTTAGGCCGTTAATTCTCAGAGGCAGCTCCAATATTTGGCCAATACGTGCTTCAACTTGACATGGTGTGAACTCCATCCCACTAGGTTCAGTTACGTACACCTGAAGGAGGAAAGAAACACAGGACAGAGATGCATGAACACAACCCCACTACAAGGTACCAGAAAAAAAAAAAAGAAAAAAAAAAAAGACAGACTTCAATATGCTCTCTGTATTTTAATTAGCCCTCTTGTATACTTCTCCCAGCTGCTAACTTCCCTCTGATGGCCATAAACAATTCTTCTCAGATTCAACATTGCTTTTGTGTTTATCTGCTGCAGAAAGGTATCAGAAAGGGCCAGGAAAAGCTTGCTACTATTTTAGTGCTCTTTTCCCATAACAGTCCAAGTTCACATTAGTTTGGTGATCCTTTTACTGCTACTTCTATAATTCTCTCTTCTGCTTTCTTGATTTTAAAGCATGGACTAAGTTGTGTGATATCTCCAGGAGGTGCTATCACCAACTGGGACAGATTTAGTATCCAACCTTGACTTTCACAGCGTAAATATTTGAGCTAGACCTGACACAGTCAGCAAGGCTTCCCAGCGTCCATCACTCACAGCAGCAGGTATGTAGAAGTTAAGGGAATTAATGACCCAAACATTTCCTCAAAGGTTTCCCTCCCTCTTTTTTTTTTTTCTTGCATTTCTGTTGTCAAAACATTTTAAAGGTGTCCAAGGCCCACATTTCCCCACAGTAATATGTCATCTAAAATAAGTTAACAAATATCTACTGCCTAATCTGACAACCTTCTGCTTCAACAAGTAATATTTATGTGAGAGAGACTTTTGAAATCAAAAGGATTACTTTCAGAAATAAAACTGGCAGAAATAGCTCTTCCATGCTATTATAGCTGGTATGGTGATGAACAAGTCTTAACTGTATTATTTATTATTCTGATTTGCTACTTTTTCCATTAATGTTAAAGACAGTCCATCACAGACTGACTGTATATTTCGTAACAACACTATGATCAAAGCTTTTCATTTGCAATACCTTAACTTCCTAACCATCTGCAAATGGCTTCAGCAGAGAATATTGAACCATATGGTACAGACTTAAAACTGTAATCCTTGTGGAACGTAATTAACTATTCCTAAAACTTGCTCACTGAGGTCAGTAAATACAACTCTTCAGAGTTACTCTACAAAGAATGCAATTCTTAACAAAAGCATTCAAAAATAACCTATTCAGATTATGCAATACACTGCTCTGAAAGCTCACATGGAGGGAAGTATTTTTTCTGTCTTCAGGCTTTGACTTATGTTTGAGGATAAGAAGTTTTAACTGAAAAATATTCATTCCTGTATCTCCTAGTGGTAACTGTCACACTGCTAAAAAGCAGCATCCTGGGTTGTCCAGAGAACAATTTCAGACCAAGCCAGCAAGCTAGATTCTGCACAAATTTTAATTTGTGTCATTATTTTAAGCATTTAAGTTGTTACTTTAAGCATGAAGTTTAGTACCTTTCAAATCCTTTTTGTAGAACTGACATAAATAATCTGAGCACAAAACCCCACGCTAATTTGCCCCTCTAAAAACCCAGCATTAGTAAATGCAGCTATTTCAAGTAAAATTTGGTTAGAAATAT